TGTTATAGTCAGTACAGCAGTTCTTAAAGCAGTGCTCTGAGGGAAGGCGTTTCTGCGGGCTAAGGCTTTTTCTTTGTGAGGAAGTTTACTCCTAATCACTTAAAAGATAACATTAACATACTGGGGAAAAATACATCACATAACTTATCTTTTTTACTAGTTGTGTGTGAGCTAATTTGTGTTAGAAAAATACACATTGTACCAGAACAGATTTTGCAAGAATGTAAGAGAATGTCCATCAGTAAGGAAGGGATGGTGTTATTTATTGTACCACCACACAATAGAATACCATATATCCATTAAAATTATATAGGTTTACATTTGTTGGCATGGAAATATATCTAAATATGTTAAGTGAGATGAATAGATGATAAAATAGCACCTAAAGTATGTATTTACATACACATTAAGAGAAGTTTAAAAAATACTAAATTTTTTAAAGTTTTGTGTTTTAATAGGTAACATAGTCACATATTTCACAACTATAATATACACAGGGTATTTTGTAAAAAGCCCAAATCTTAACAGTGGTAAATTCCAGGTTGATTATTTATTTAGCAAATATTTTTAATACTAAGTACAGTCAGCCGTTGTGCTAGGAACTATAAATATAGAGGAAAAAAGGATAGACACAGTCCTTACCCTTTTGGGGCTCATAATCTAGATGGAAAGCAGTTCTTGAATAACTAATACTAAAGTATAATGACCATTATGATGTAAGGAATTTTGTAAACATGACAGTGCCACAACTCAGCCTAGATGTTGAGAAAGGCCTCCCTAAATAATTAATGTTTAAGCTGAGAGTTGAAGGATGAGTAGAACCTCCAGTTTCATCAGTTTTCAGTTTGTGTCCGTGAGAACTGAAAAAGGTAATGTCCGCTTAAACTCTTTGAAAGTAATAAAGGGCAAGAAAATATTTAAGTTTTTGTGTTGACAAGAAGGAATGACTGAACCATTGACTTATGATCTCATCAAACTTTTGTCAGAAAAATTTGTCTTCACAGAGAAGAAAACTTAATTAGTAACATATGTGGGAGAGCCACTTCTATTATGTTTAAAGTCTAAGCACAGACTTGGAGAAATGTATTAAGTGGACATATAGGAAGTACACTTGTGGTTGGCTGGAGTCTCCAATTGGAACTGATATATTAGACCCAGACTTCTAGAAAGCTACTCTTTAGCATGGCGAATCCCTGTAGGAATTTGACCTATTTAGAATGGGGTATGAATCCTTCCTTATTGCCACAGTGTCACGGCCCGTGTGGACCATGTCTGTAGACTATCCTGTCATGCATTCCATTAGGGCCTCTTAGATGTGAGGTGATATGGGGGAAAACTTCAAGCAGCTTATACAGGACATGACTGCCTTCCAGACTTTATCTCCTAAAGCAGGGTTAAGTAAAAAGGCTGTCACAGACACATATTTTGTTCTGGTCACCCAATGCTGGGTACTGTTCTAGTCTGGCATCATTGTTCTCACTTCATCTTCAGATAGAGCCCACTTACTTCTTAGGCAGATTTCCTCAAAATGCTGAATGAATGAATGAGTGCTTGTTGACTGGAATCTTCAATTTCCTGACTTCTGTATCTTCATTTCTTCCTTCTTGGTCTCTGCCCCTTTAGTTCTCTAAATGTTAGTTTCCTTCTCTCTCCCCTTTCTTTGTAAATTTCTTGAGACTCTCAAGGCAGACTTTCCTCTAGCTCTGAAGATAAGCTTCTTTCATTAATCAGGCTTCCTGTGTTTTTTTTTCTACTTCTTGTCTGAAAGTGAATTATATTAATTCAGTTTGTTTTCACTCTAACCTTATTTGTGAGGAAATGGAGATTATAGCAATCAAGTACTGAAAAATTTCATTTTTAGTACAATATACTCTGAAGTGAATGTTCTGTTTGTAAGTGTTTGAGTTTATCCTAGTCATAGCAGAAGTAAAGATTTTTAAATATGAAAAGGAACATGTATAAAATTATGGAAGAAATTATAGAGTATCTTTGTTGACTACAATCGAATTAAGTTAGAAACCAGTAACAATAAGATGTCTAGGAAAACACCAAGTATTTGGAAATTCAGATAACCTATGCGTCAAAGAAAATGACAAGGGAAATTAGAAAGTATCTTGAATTGAATAAAAAGGAAAGCAGTACATATCAAAATGTGTGAGATATAGCTAAAGCAGGGCTTAGAGGGAAATTTGTAGCTGTGTACGTGATTATAGTAGAAGAAAGAAGGGATCTGAATGAATAATTTATGTTCCATCTTAAGCTAGAAAAAGAAGAGCAAAACAGGTCCACAGTAAGTCAAAGGAAAGAAATAATATATGAGCAGAAATCAGTGAAATAAAAAATAAACACAAGAAAATATTAATAAAGCCAAAAGCTGGTTCTCTGAAAGATAATAAAATTGACAGATCCTCAGCTGGATTGATCAAGAAAAAACACAAATCTCCAACATCAGAAATGAAAGAAAGGTTATCACTACAGATCCTACACACATTTAAAGATTAATAGGCCATTACAGACAACTTTATGCCAACAAATTTGACAACTTAAATGAAGAGAATAATTTCCTTGAGAAATACAATTTACCAAAATTGGTATAGGAAGTAATAGGAAGTCCAAGTAGCCCTATATCAAACATTCCCCCAGAGAAAGCCCAACACCCAGATGTTTTCACTGCTGATTTCTATCAAACATTCAAGGAGGAAATGACACCAATTTTACATAAATTTTTCAGAAAATAGAGGAGTAGGGACCCCTGACCAATTTGTTCTGAGGCCAGCATAACTGTGATATCAAAACCTGACATACTCATGAAAAAAGAAAATCACCAACTCACAAACATAGGTGCAAAAATCCTTGACAAAATATTAGCAAATTGAATCTAACAGTATATAAAAAGGATAGTACATCTGACCAACGAGAGTTTATCCCAGGAAATAAAAGTTATTTTAATATTCAGAAGTTTATGCTAGCCATCATATTAACAAATTTGAAAACTTTTTTGAGATTTGTAAACATCTCAATTGAAGCAGAAAAAGCATTTAACAAAATCCAACTTCCGTTCATGATAAAAATTGCTAACTAGACATAGAAGGGAACTTAGCCTCAGAAAGGGTATCTAACAGAAAAACCTATAGGTAGCATCGTACTTACGGAACAAGGCTTATGTGCCTGCTTTCACCAGTGTTAAACACTGTCATATAGTCCTACCATTAAAATAAGGTAAGAAAAAAGTAAAAGGCATCAAGATTGAGGAGGAAATGAAATTGTTCATATTTTACAGTGATATGATTGTTTAGGTAGAAAAACTCAAGGAATCACAGAAAAACTACTACAACCAATAAATGAAGTTAGCTATTATATTTCTATATATTCAAAATAAATAATGAAAAAAAGAAAAATTTAAGATTTCTATTTACAAGTATAGCTGTCCTCCAGTATCCACAGGTTTGCTTTCCAGTTTCAGTTACCTGCAGTCTGAAAATATTAAATAGAAAATTCCAGAAATAAATAATTCATAAGTTTTAAATTGCTCGCTGTTCTGAGTAACCTGATGAAATCCTGCCATCCCACCTGGGAAGTGAATCATCCCTTTGTCCAGCATATCCTGCCCGTTAGTCACTCTGTAGCCATCTCGGTTATGAGATGGCTGTTGCCAGTATGGCAGTACTCGAGTTCAAGTGAACCTTATTTTACTTAATAATGGCCCCAAAGTGAGAGAGTAGTGATGCTGGCAATTCAGATATGCCAAAGAGAAGCCATAAAGTGCTTCTTTTAAGTGAAAAGGTGGAAAGTTCTCGACTTAATAAAGAAAGGAAAAAAAATAATATGCCGAGGTTGCTGAGATCTACAGTAAGGACGAATCTTCTGTCCATGAAATTGTGAAGAAGGAAAAAGAAATTTATACTAGTTTTGCTGTTACGCCTCAAACTGCAAAAGTTATGGCCATAGTGTGTGATAAGTGCATAGTTAAGAAGAAAAAGGCATCAAATTTGTACAATAAGATAATTTTGAGACAGAAGGAGAGACCACATTCACATAACTTTTATGATAGTTTATTGTTATAATTGTTCTGTTTTATTATGTTGTTGTTAATCTTTTATAGTGCCTAATTTATGAATTAAACTTTATCATAGGTGTGTATGTATAGGAAAAAAATAGTATATATATGGTTCAGTACTATCCATAGTTTTCAGGCATCCACTGGGGATCTTGGAATGTATCCCCCAGGTGTAAGGGGAGACTGCTATACCAAAAAGCATAAAATATTCAAGAATAAATTTTGCAAAAAAGTCCAAGACCTCTTTATTGAACACCATAAAGCTTCACTGAAAGAATTAAATAAGATGTTAAGTAAATGGAGAGGTCATGATTGTGCATTGACAGACACAATACTGTTTAGATGTTAATTCTTCCCAAACTGATCTAGAGATTCAGTCCAATCCCAATCAAAATTCTAGTTGGCCTTTTCATTGAAATTGACAAGTTGACTCTAACATTTAAATGGAAATGTGAGTGGACCTATGTCATTCCTGGGCAGAGAAGCTTTAAGAGCCACTATGTGATTCCACTCTCCCTTTTCCCTGATTTAGCAATCATAGAAGCAAAGAAGTGGTAATTCTCTCAGCTGAAGGACAGCATAGTTTGAAAAATTAAGAAACTGAGGCACAGAGATTGTGATCTGCTCAAGGTCACACAGCTTGCACATGTCTTTGAACCCAGGCAAGGCAATCTGGCTCCAGAGTCTGTACCTCCAGACCCACAATCTATGTTCCCACCCCTTTCTAAGAGAATTGCTGTTTCTCTACACCCTTGCCAACTGACTAGCTTTATGAATGTTTAACAATCTGATAGGGAAAG